AAAAAAAAAAAAAAAAGAAGTGATGGATGGAATGAAAAAAGAAGACCATGCATCGTTGCGAAGATAGAAAAGAACATCACCCATTAAGAAATTTCGCTGCGCTACCAATGCACACCTTCTACTACGCATGCCACCTCTGAACAGTGGCATGCAAAAATCCAGCGAAAAAAAAAAAAAGTTGCCAATAAGACTTCCACATGGCGTCCTGCCCTGAACACAGTCATCAACGACCAGAAAAAAAACAGTTGTACGATGATCGCTCCCACGGTCTCAAACAAACCCCGCACGCTCATGGCGTCCTGCCCCGAACACAGTCATAAACAATGCCACAAACCCTTTCTCCCCCGTGAGCCCTCCCGCGTCCCGCCCCCCGAAGAAACCCCCCTAAAACACCCCCTCCCCCCATCCTCTTGTACCTGCCATCTCAACAGGGCCTGCGCATCATCCCCTCCTTGCCTCTGCCATCACCGTCGTCTACGTGTCACCCCCCTTCGCCTTTGTCATCGCCTTCGGCGTCGTCGTCGTCGTCCTCGGGGGGACCTGTCCCCAGCCAATCCAGCCGTTTCGCCTCCATCGGGGAGGCCAACATGGTGTCGTGCAAGAAAGTGACCCCGCACTTAGACGCCCAATCGGGGATGTACGCAGGTGGGGGGGCGAAGGTCGGAGGCGGTCTCCCCAACTTGTCCGTCATGACCTGCGCGGATTGCGTGATGTGTCGGCGGGCGTCAAACTGCCGGTTCATGGACGCCTGCAGCGTCGTCTTCGCCGTCAATTGAACGAAAACCCAAGCGTCATAATGCGATCTCGGATCGTCCCCCGCCATTCGCATAATCCACATCGTGGCGGCGAGCAAATACCGCATCGCCTCTGCCATTCCCTTCAGACGCTCGTACGACACTTGACCGTCGTCCATAGCTTCTGCCGTGCCAACTGCGCTTGTAAGATCCCGCACCAGACGCTGGACACAAGCTTCCTGGTAAGCCGCGCACTCATCGTCCTCGTGCCTGTCCACTATGTTCACGCCCACGAACCACAAAGGCAACTTCATGTCTACGTCCAATGTGGCGCGGAACAACATTGGGCTCACCAAACTGCGCCAGTCCTCTGCTGACCACATTGCTCTAGCGATGTCCGTGGCAATGTGATTCAATGCGTATTGGTATGCCAAGTGATACCCCCTTTGCCTGCTCGCCGACTTGAAGACCCAACCGTGGATCGCCCTGAGGGAGATTGTCTGCACTTTTAACGCCCTCTCTTTCGCCGCGTTCAGCTCCGACTCGTCCTCGATTTTGTGTTGGGGGATGGAGTTGTGTGGAAGGGAGATGCTCCGTCGAATAGCCGGAGGCTGCACTCCCCGCGCCTCGGCCACGAGATACGCGCGCGCTTCTTGGATTATCCTCACTATGGCGCTCCCCTGCGTGTCGTTCCAGAATCTGTTGTCATCCTCCCAAAGTTTGGCGGCGGCATCCATCGCATGTGTCGCCGCTCGTTGCCCGCGCAGCCTGTGCACCAGAGCCTCGTCGTCTTCCCCGGCCGCCACGCCATCTCCTCCCTTCGGGACTTCAACCGCCTCTCCCGGGACCGCCACAGCGCCACCGCGCGCCACCACTGAGGGAGATCGCAACGTCCCACCTTCAACCACTGCTTGGGAACTCCCCGCCACGTCTGCAGCCAGGGTTCGGGGGCAATTCAAAGGCGCAAGCACGCGTTGCGCAGTCTCATGCGAGGCAGCCCCTTCCTTCGCGCAGCCACCGACGTCCCTCCTTGCCACATCTCGCGCCACGTCGCGTGCCACGTCGACAAACACTGGTTGGTTGGCCGCGGCAACGCCACCGCCGCGCCGCGCGGTCGGTGTCCCTTCCCCCCCCTCGTTTATTCTAACCCCCCCCACGGAGCTGACCCTCGCCTTCCTCTGCAGTGGTTCATCGTCGTCGTCTTCAAAGTCGTCGTCGTCGTTCGTCATCTCTTCCTCCACCACAGTTTGCACGGCTTGGACGACCTTCCTCTGCCTCTTCGCTTGATGTTGTCCCTTCTTCGCGGGTACCGCGCCTTCCACGATCTTCTTCAAGGCAGCCTTCCCGCGTCCAGCTCCGCGGGATGACATGGCGGATCCGAAAAAAGCGCCTTTGATCGCGGTCGGTGGTTCGCAAAGCTTGCGGACGAGTGCACCGTGCGGCGGCTGGATGATTGCAGGGCGGCGAGAACGGAAGATAGAGAATGGAACAGACGGCTATGATTACACGGATGGATTATAGGGTGGCGAATGACGGATAGGGCGAGGACAAATGACTGCAAGTGCGACGTCGACGGATGGCGGCACGACGAACGGCGGCAAGGGCGGCGACGACGAGCGACGGCAGGTGACGACAGGGCGGCGACGACGAATGATGGCAAGACGATTGGCGGACGACAGAGATGGTAGTTAGCGATCGGCGTTGCAGATGGGTACGTGGTCGACGATGACAGTGCCCGTTAACCAAGTTGCGCGGCGGGAGCAGGCGACGACACAACAGCGCCCGAAAGGCAGAGAAGAGCGCGGCGAGAAAGCAGTCCACTGCAGTGCTCGACGGGGAGTGGGAGTGCGATGTGACACCCTCCGTCCACGCAGGCTTGAAAAAAATGGATATCCCAGTGGACAATCGAGAGGGACCCTGCCCCCCGCC